TTTCACTATATTAAGGGGAGAGGGTGCCTTCACACACATATTCGGTGTGAAATATCTTCCGCCCCCCAGCGGAGCGCTTCGGCGCCTCTGCGAAGCAAAGCGCGGCATTCAAAAACAACAACCAAAATTGCTGTCGCTTCCCTGCCCTGCAATGGCTGGAGCAGAAGGAGAGAGAGAGAGAGAGATTTTAGTCTCATTGGATCAGAGGAATGGCAGTGGAGCGGGCTTATGGCGAGTAGGCTCGCGCTCTATCAATTACACTTGCCAGGTCTCTCTTCCGTTTGGACATTATTTACTCCGTCTCTCTCTCTCTCTCTCTCGGCGCACACGTCGCCACCCTACTAGTTTCCGTCACAGCATATGCTGCGGCCTTTCAGTCCGGAACGGGGCTCCCCTTCGCCTTGCTGTCTGCCCAACTTAGCGGACTTGCGTTGGCTGATCACCCCGTCTTCGCGTCTGTGCCGGCCTTCAATGCAGCGCCCAACCGTCTCTTGACCGAGATTCATTGCACTATTCCACGCGCAAACGGCTACCCTAAATGTGCATAGACAACGCTCATGGTTCAACACGACCAGGGCGCAGTCTGGGAGCCGAGTATACTAAAAAGAGAGTTTAGCAGCCAAAACTCGTCAAAGCACACGTTGGGTTACCCCATCACCTAACAACGATGATGGCGGTTCCTACCCGTGAAATACACAACCTAACCAATATTGGGCGACGATGGCGCTCATGAGCCCACGTCCCCACAAACAGTAAGAGAAAGAGAGAGAGGAGGAGATGGGCCAATGTCTTATGCCTCGCTGGGGCAAAGAGAAGAGAAGAGGAGCGGATAAGGGAGGAGATTGGCCAACGTGCGGTCCCTCGCCCAATGTCGGCTGCCTCGCTGGAGCTGGGTAAAGAGGAGAGGAGCGGATAAGGGAGGAGATTGGCACACACGGTGGCGCTGCCGGCGCCGAGGATAGCGAGAGAAGGTGCAGTTTGATCTGATCATCTGGTTTGCTATTTCTCTAAGGCCAACGTGCGGTCCCTCGCCCAATGTCGGCTGCCTCGCTGGGGCAAAGAGAAGAGGAGAGGATAAGGGAGGAGATTGGCACACACGGTGGCGCTGCCGGCGCCGAGGATAGCGAGAGAAGGTGCAGTTTGATCTGATCATCTGGTTTGCTATTTCTCTAAGGCCAACGTGCGGTCCCTCGCCCAATGTCTTCTGCCTCGCTGGGGCAAAGAGAAGAGGAGCGGATAAGGGAGGAGATTCGCCAACGTGCGGTCCCTCGCCCAATGTCGGCTGCCTCGCTGGAGCTGGGGCAAAGAGGAGCGGATAAGGGAGGAGATTGGCACACACGGTGGCGCTGCCGGCGCCGAGGATAGCAAGAGAAGGTGCAGTTAGATCTGATCATCTGGTTTGCTATTTCTCTAAGGCCAACGTGCGGTCCCTCGCCCAATGTCTTCTGCCTCTCTCTCAATCTCACTATTTTGGCCGCCGTGATAGGCGCCGCCAACAGCAGCAGCTACCTGGTTGATCCTGCCAGTAGTCATATGCTTGTCTCAAAGATTAAGCCATGCATGTGTAAGTACAAGCCGATTTAAGGCGAAACCGCGAATGGCTCATTAAATCAGCTATGTTTCATTGGATCTGTAAACCCACTTACTTGGATAACTGTGGCAATTCTAGAGCTAATACATGCAATTGGTCTCTGACCGCAAGGGAAGAGCGCTTTTATTAGTTCAAAACTGGTCGGGCCCCGGTCCGTAACCCACCTGTGGTGAATCTGAATAACTTCGGGCTGAGCGCACGGTCTCCGCACCGGCGCCGCTTCTTTCAAGTGTCTGCCTTATCAGCTTTCGATTGTAGGTTATGCGCCTACAATGGCTATAACGGGTAACGGGGAATCAGGGTTCGATTCCGGAGAGGGAGCCTGAGAAACGGCTACCACATCTAAGGAAGGCAGCAGGCACGCAAATTACCCACTCCCGGCACGGGGAGGTAGTGACGAAAAATAACGATGTGAGTCTCATCCGAGGCCTCGCAATCGGAATGAGTACACTTTAAATCCTTTAACGAGTATCCATTGGAGGGCAAGTCTGGTGCCAGCAGCCGCGGTAATTCCAGCTCCAATAGCGTATATTAAAGTTGTTGCGGTTAAAAGCTCAGAAGTTGATCTTCAGTTCCGGACTGATTGCACCCGCCCGGTGTTTACTGTCACGCCCGAACAGTTGCCCTGCCGGCTCGCCGTACGGGATGCCTTTTGTCGGCGTCCCTATATTGGAGATGTACGGAAAATTAGAGTGCTCAGAGCAGTTATCGCGAAACGGCCCGAATGGTGATGTATGGAATAATGGAATAGACCCGGTTCTATTTTGTTGGTTTCGGAACCAGAGTAAATGCCGACTAATCGGAAACAGGCGGGCATTCGTATTGCTATCGCTAGAGGTGAAATTTGGGACCGTCGCAAGACGAACCACGCGGAAAGCATTTGCTGGCGATGTTTTCTATTAATCAAGAACGGTGTTAGATATCGAAGGCGATCAGATATCGGCCCCTAGTTCTAAACCATAAACGATGCCAATCAGCGATCCATGAGTTCCCATGACCCGGCGGCAGCTTCCTGAAACCAAAGTCTTTGGGTTCCAAAGCGTTTGCAAAGCTGAAACCGAAGGACCTGACGGAAGGGCACCACCAGGAGTGGAGCCTGCGTTTAATTCTGACTCAACACGAAACCTCACCAGGCCCAGACACCGAAGGATTGTGATTGAGAGCTTCTTCGATTCGTGTGGTGGTGCATGGCCGTTTAGCGGTGGAGCGATTTGTCTGGTTAAATTCGATAACGAACGAGAGACTCTGGCCTACTAAGCAGTCGACGGATCTCCAGAAAATGTCCAGTTCGCAACTTCTTCTTAGATATTGAAAGCGGTAATTCAGCCGCACGAGATTGAGCAACAACAGGTCTGGGGATGCCTTTAGATGTTCTGGGTCACGCCAAGCGCCACTGAAGGGATCAACGGTTTTCCTCCGAGAGGTGAGCGGGTAACCCGTTCAAAGCCTTTCTTGATAGGGATTGGGGCTTGCAATTGTTTCCTATGAACGAGGAATTCCCAGTAAGTGCAAGTCATCAGCTTGCGCTGACTACGTCCCTGCCCTTCGTACACACCGCCCGTCGCTACTACCGATTGAATGATTTAGTGAGGCCTTCGGACTGGCGCTCTTGGATTGTCGGCCCCGTTGCCCGCGAGGGTTTTCTGGGGTCGTCGCCTCGAGCTGACGGAAAGATGTCCAAACTTGATCATTTAGAGGAAGTAAAAGTCGTAACAAGGTTTCCGTAGGTGAACCTGCGGAAGGATCATTAACAGAGAGAAAGAGAACGGGGCGCTCTTAAAACTAATACTACTACTCTCCTGATTTGGGCGGTCTCGGGCTCTGCTCTGGCAACTCCAGCAGCGAAAGAGGACAATCCCGGCCCCCGCACCAAAAATAGGTACCACCACGCTGTAGGTGGACCACACTCGGGCGAGAGCGCGAAGACCGGAGGAGGAGGACGGACGGGGCTTTGGACGGCTGCCCGTCCGTTCCTTACTACCGGCGAATAAGCCTCTTGACCTAAAAAGAGTGAAATTCAAGTGTCAAAAAACAACAACAAGCCGTCCGGCCAAACCCAAACCACAAACTTGGGCTATGTCTGTCAAACCCTTTCATTGAGACTCGACCTGTGATGGTTAGTCGCAAAAAGACCAAATGGCAAATACACAACTCTTAACGGGGGATCACTCGGCTCGTGGGTCGATGAAGACCGCAGCAAACTGCGTGTCGGTATGTGAATCGCAAGAATACCGATACACGACAAGTTGAACGATATTGGGCGCGGGCGGCAGCCATATGAGCTTGTCGTCGCTTACCTATAATGCAGGGTCGAAATATACATCCATCGTTGCTGCGAGTTCGGGTGCTCGCTGACTGTCTCCCCGACACCAGGGTAACCTCAACCGAAGCCTCGCCTTTGGGTTTAATCGCTTCGCGCCAGGCGCGGCCCTCTAAAACAAGCAAGCCTATCACTAGCAAGTCCATGGACTTGGCGCACCCACATTCAACCACAACAACGCGACAGTTGTCGCCCTCGCAAATAACTGGAGGCGGCGCTCTTTTGCCTGCTGTCCACAGAGACACGAATGGCCGTCGGCCGCTCATGGCTGATGCTGCACATGTTCTAAGAGGCACTCCATCCCACGAAGAGGAAACGAAACCGGGTCGGAAATCTTTTAAGTAAGCCCCGCCGGAATTTCGTCTATCACCTCGAAAAGAGTGCTTGGCATGCATTGCAGTGGAACCTAAATTGATGAGTGCGCCTGGGCCCGCAGTCTACCATGTAGTGGTGCAGGCAGAGAGATGAGAATGCTTGGGTGACGCCGTGCTCTTCCTCACGCGCTCCTCCACCCTCTCCCACGGTCAGACGCGGTGTGGGCGTTCTCTTTGAGAGTTCGCCACGAGTCCACGTCTATCTCATGACTGGGAGGGAGGCAGGGGGAGTTCTCTCTAAACGCGTTAAAGACGGTGTTGCGCCTCATAACGGCGCTCGCCGGGATAGAGCACTAGTTCTGCAGCCGGAAAGGCCGCTCACGCCAATTAATACTGCGACTCTCGCTCTCTTTCTCCGGATAAACAAGTGCCACTGCTGTGGCATGCGGGAACGGGGAAAGAGGTCAAAGTTTAAGCGGCAAAGGTGCGGCCGAGTAAGGGCGGAACACGAGCGTATATGCATTAAAACTGTGTGTGTATATGACTCTGCGAGAGATGTTCTGCTGGAACACTTTTCCTATTGGCTATTTACCACTCAATGAGAAGGAACGGAGTCAGGGGTGGGAGTGCCGGCGCCATGGCCGCTGGTACCCCCGCGACAAGCCCCTCAAACCTTCCTGCCTGGTAATGTCGGTGGTGAAGAAAGTCGGTGGCAGAGCGTCTTCCGCTTCGTGGTTGGGGAACTTGTTCCCCCTAAGGATGATGAGACCACGAT